AGGAGAGGATTTCTGAATGGCGCCTCACGGAAGATACAGAACTGGACTGGTGCGTTGTGTTTCTATAATGTACATCACAGCTCTTACTCGGAATACGTACTGCAGTGTTCACCGGCATGAGAATATATGTAATTAAACTTATGATCATGTGAGCCACCCCAGTCACTGCTGCAAAACACAGTCACTGATTTACTCATCCTAACCTGCAGAAACTGCGGTAGTAAATCCCCCAGTGCTTTGACACATGGGTAGCAGTTTTAGATGAATTAACTTGGATTGTTGGTATATATTGCTGTACAAACTGTCTGAATGAATACACATATTCTATTTAACATACAGCGATTTCACGGCGTTTTGCACAGGGCAGGTCAGGCGCTGCTGTAGACTGTGTTCAGTGCTCAGCCTGGTTGCCCGAGTGGCTGGCCGGCTCCAGAGGGACAGCGAGGACTCGGTTCTTCCTCAGGGGGGAAGACGTGCCGAAGCCGGGATCCCTGCTCGGGAAGAGCTGCCGGGCCGGCGGCTCGTTTTCCAGCGGGCGCGCTGGTTATTTATGGTGCGTCGTCGAGTAGATGTGCAGAACACGTGTCCTACACACACCCGGCTAAATTAAAACGGCAGCAAAAAAAAACAACAACCCCCAAACAAGACATCTTCTTCCGAGCCGGACGTTGTAGACGTTGCGTGCATCTCAAGGGAGCGTTTCAGAGAGGCAGTCCGCGATGCCATGCTAAAGATTTTTTTTGGTGTGTGTGTGTGTGTCCACCAGACATGTTTCCTCTTAGTACACCACTGTCTGCCCTGGCCCTGTCTCGGCAAGTGTGGCTTTGTGTATCCTGGGAATGTCTGTCAGGGAAGCGGGATGATATCCGTACTTAATTCTGTTAGGTCATTGAAGAGTGGGAGACTGTGATTTAGTGCACGCCCTCCCCCCCCCCTTCAGCTCTCTGCCTAATTGGGTTAATCGTCCTCAATGGAATTTCCATTTCTGGCTAAATAAATTGCTTTCTCCCTCTGCAAACGGCTGTATTGTGCAGACAGCAGCCGTTGATTGGCAGGCTTTTTTGTGTGGGAGTGCCTCTCCCCCTCCTCTCTTCAGAAACTCTAATGCCGTTGTGAGCAGGTTTGTCCCACTCCCGAGAAAGCACAGCAGGAGGACCGCTCCGCAGCTCCGACTGGGCACCTGTAGAAAGGCCCGCTTGCTCAACAGCAGATGAAGCAGATTGGAGATGGGGGACATTGTAAATGTAAGCCGGGATTGCTCATTCTCAAACTTGCTAAATAGGCTGGTCTTTTTTCTATTTTTAAAGTGTATTTTAAAGTAGCAAACCCCTTGAAAGGTCCACGTTAAGATAAGATCAGTTTATTGGCCCTATACAATTTCTTGCATTAGGAATTTGTCTTTTCGCAGACCCCAGGTTGCTCTCCATGAGATAGACAGGGAGAGAAGCTTGGGGTCAGAGCGCAGGGTCAGCCATTGTACAGCGCCCCTGGAGCAGTTGGGGTGAAGGGCCTTGCTCAGGGGCCCAACGGAGTAGGATTCCTCTGCCGGCCGCGGGATACTAACTGGCAACCTTCCAGCCACAGGCGCAGATCCTGAGCCACAGTGCCACTGCACTGCCCTTAAATGGAAGTCTCTTTGCAAGGGTTTTTTTATTATTATCAGTAGTAGTAGTAGTATTAAGCGCTTTTCTGGACACTCAACTTCAAGCGCTTTACAGGTAATGGGGACTCCCCTCCACGTCCACCAATGTGTAGCCCCACCAGGATGATGCGACGGCAGCCATAGTGCACCAGTACACTCACCTCACACACCAGCTGTCAGTGGGGAGGAGAACAGAGTGATAAAGCCCATTCATAGATGGGTGATTATCTGATGACCATGATTGGGAAAGGCCAGGACGCTGGGGGTAACACCCCTACTCTTTTCGAGAAATGCCCTGGGAGTTTTAATGACCACGGAGAGTCAGGACCTCGGTTTTATATTTGAAGGACAGCGCCGTTTTTAACAGTATAGTGTGTACACTGTACTGGGACATTAGGATCCACACAGACCACCAGTGAGCACTCCCACAGGTCACAGCCATTGAAGCATTATGGCACAAGTTCACGTCAGTCTACTTCTGGATTGTTGCGTGTAAACTGTTGCATTCAGAGAACTGTAGGTGTGAAACTCAGGCTCTGTGACATTAGCATTTTGGATTTGTCTCCCTGACATAACTCCTGCACTTTGACTAAGGCCGGAACAGGGCCCTTGAAGGCTCCTAGTTCGCTATGTTTTCTCTGGGACAGGCTGGTCTGGAGTGAGGGAGTTTCCAGAGAAAAGGGTGACCTCTGGGGAAAAAACAAAGAGATTTTATCTGGTCTCGGTTTGTTTGCAGCACCCCCTGCTGTAATTACATATGGACCTTTTAAAAAATGGATGAACGTCGCTCACTGCAGATAATTATATTAATTTTTTAGCCAAATTGATTTAAGATTGTATAGCAAGGAATGGTAGTGTAGTACTTACAAATGAACTACCTTGCTCAAGGGTACAATTCTAAAGCCCTTACCACTGCCCAAATTGACCAAATGTATTAGCAAACCCCAGCTACTGGGAACACTTGTTTTCTTTTCAGTCTTCTCTGCACACGAACGTGCAATTTGTACAAATTTCTATTTATTTGTGACGGACCCTTCCCTTACCTAAGGCCACCCCAGGGATCTGCACGTATAAAAATGTCACAATAATGAAAAACAAGCACAGGCAACTTTATTATATTTTCAAGGCTTATAACAAAAAGAATGTAAAAAAGAACCAGCTCTATGCATACCCTTTAAATACTTCAAAAAGAACCCTGTTAAAACTCATGTGAGAATGTGCACATGTATTTTCTACCAGTAATTTGATTAATTATTGCCAGTGAGTCTATTCACAACAATTAGAGGCAGGTTTGGCATTCTCTAGTGTCTGGTTAGCTGTAATTGTAGATTTTTAAAGTCGATTTTTTTAAAATCTAAACAGAACTGAGCGTTTTCTTTTGGTATTAAGTTGAAAAAGTCTCATCTTTAAGAAGCTGGATTTGTTCTTCATTTTTTAAAGGAAGTGAAGAAGTCAAGAGCGAAGGAAATGTGGAGCTAAACACAAACTCTTCTGTGAGGTGAATTACCCCGCAGCCCGGAGCTCTGCTGTAAAGAGAGCTGACACACTGCTTCCTCAGTGCTCTCGTGGCATGCTTTCACATACCAGATCAGTCGAAGACCATATTAAATTACATCGACGGGAGTATTTACTCTGTGGCAGAACTTCCCTTGAAATATCTTGAGGTCACCGATTAAAAAGACAGTCAGCACGGAACAAGGCGATGAAAACAAACAAAACGCGTGGATCGCACTCTGTCGGGCGTGTTTTTCCTGTATTATTTTTCGGCTGTTGTTTCAAGCACTTTATAAAGAGCGCCAGGCCACATTTGGGCTGATATAATTTATGCCGGCACTGTTTTAATTACACAGTCGTGTCGTTTGTTTAGAAATTCCCATTACTGATGTCAAGTTGTGTTCATTATTCACTCAGGGCTTCGTAGCCCAGCTATTGTTCAGCGAGTGTTTTCCTCCAGACAGTCTGTGAAGCCGACCCCCACTGAAAAGCCCATTCCCTTGAATTAATCACAAGATGATATAGTTGGTGCCAGCTCTTTTTTAAGCCATTGATATAAAAGAGCTATTTGATTTAATTGGTATTTAAATGTACTCCAGATGAATGCCCACACTTCTACTGCTGTAAGTGGGAACACAGCTGTTTGTAATGAGCAAAATATGATTGTTATAACTGGGAGGGGGGGATACCTGGAACTCGTCAGACAGGGACAGACATGGCCTTGCTCTTTCTTCTAGATCCTGGCGGGTGTAACTCTTTTTCTGCCGCACACTTGAGATCTAGGAACACTGGGATTTCCACTTTGTCCTCTGTCTTGTCTATAGTTGCATCTGTTCAGGGAAAAGTAAAAGGTTTTGTTTATTCACCCGATGTTTCTGAGGAATGATGAGGTGCCAGGAATGGATTCTTGATGATTATGGACTTGTACATAAGGGACAAAAGTCTGTTTCTGTATACTGGTGGATCCCACCCCCATTAGATTGCTGAAGCCTTCATTGATCTAAGACGATCTAGGATCTATGATCTAAGATCCATTTGAATGTTTGCAGTCCACGTTTGGATTTTATTTCACTTAAAAAATAGATCATGTTTAAGAGCTGGGAACAAACAGTTCAACTTAATCTTATTATTCTTGGTAAAGCTCGTGAAAGGGTTTGATTGTGTAACTGAGAGCTCCATTGGAACAAAACGTGTGCAGACGTTTTTATGTGGGTGGCCAGCCCTTTCTTTGTGGGAACCCGTACTCTCAAGATTTTACTGGGTATCACTAAATTGTCAACCGGATAAGTACCCTGGAACAGAGAGCAATTTTGACCAGTTCTGCCCAATAATTGAATTAAAAGCTTGGATGGAATAAAACTCCATGTCCAGGGGCGACCAGTGCTTATTCTTGCAAACCGATATTGTGTGTGGGCATGATTGTAAGGTGAAAATTGTAGAAATATTGTATCTTTCACACGATGCATACTACATTGGTATCAACAATAAACCTTAGCTGAAAGAAATGGCCTTTTTCTGACTGAGGTGTAAGGATATATTTTTGTGTGTAGTGAACTCAGATTGTGGCTGGCTGAATAACACACAGGATATCTAATTTATACGAGCTCTGGAGGACTGAATGATGGGCGATTTGTCCCTCAGTACAACTAGAACAAGTTCTGTGTTTGGCAAGCCAAGTGTCCAAGTCAAGACTTGTGTCCAAGTATCTATTGCTTGTCTGTTGTGCCTTCTGTCAGACATCCATGCCATTACAATGTTATAAAAGGGTGTTATGCTTTAGATTGCTTTAGAGCTTTGTTTTTTGCATTCATTTAATTAATTTAGGAATCAAAAGATTGAATTAAGGTAAAACATAATTACATGATTTTGAGGTTCCTGAATGGTTTCATTAAATAGTGCAGGATGTCCTAGAAAAGTGCTTTAGGTCAAGATATTGAAGAGCATTTTAGAGACTGAAGGTGACTCTGGGTCAGGTTTCAGTTACATGTAGTAGTTTATTGTTACACGTACTAAATATATAGTATCGTCACTAGTTCTAAGCATTTAAGATAACCTTTTTTCCATAATTAACAATGATATAATATATAATGGAAAATATACACTATTAGCACAAAAGTTTAAAATAATCCAGTTGTGTTGAATTTTTTTATGAGAAATGTGAGTTCAGCGTTAGAGGTAAGATTATTTTAATTTGCTTAAAAATAACTCAACAACATAACTCAATAGATGTAATAGTATTTTCTAAGAGATTGAAGCCCTGTGCATAATGTTCATAATGAAATGATACTTCTCCCTATGATGATCTGAATGTTATTAAAGGACCAAATCTTTGCCAAAGATCTGGGGAATAAGATACTATTTATCCAAAGCCCCGTAGTGTATAATGGTATATATTTCCTCTTTGAGATTGTAAAGAAAACATAGTATGAACCATCCATGTCATTAATATGTTTGCAGAATATTATAACTTAAATAATATTCTAATTTCTCATAAAATTTAGTAATTATGTTTTTATGATATACATTATATAGATCATTTTTCTCCAAATAATATTCATTTATTCTTTCTTGCAGCCTGCAGTCGTTCCATGAAAGATTATATCTTTTGGAATTTTGTATGGTTTGAATATCTTCATGCAAAATTCTTTAAAAAATATTTTCTAGGTGATGCCAGAAATAAAATAAAATTCCTACCTTTTATGAGTGGTAAATGTAGTGATCTAAACTTAAAGGAAACTGAGTGAATCAACAGCAGTGCGCGTTCAACTTAAAAGAAGGCAGCGTTGTTCCTGCGCATTCATAGTAAATTAACATTGCGAAAACAAAGTTCTGCTCTTGGCTGTCACCTGTCCCAGTTTCCAGATTTTCCAAGGGCACAAGGTGGAGGTTTTAACAAAAATTAAGCTGAGTGTTAGATTTGACTCGTGAAATAACGTGGACTTTCGAGTGTTAATAAACTCATTCGAATAACATTTTTTTTTTCTCAGTCGTGGCTCTCAAAAAAATAAAAGAACACCCCCAAAAAAGGAGACCCGTCCTGTGAAAACCAGCGGCGTTTTTTCGTGAAGGCTGGGGGCTCGCTTCCTCGGGCGGCATCCTTTCGGAAACCCGAGGCGTCCTCCTCGTCGGAAGCTACGTTTACCCCCCAATCCGTGTGCCGACATTTTAATTCGCCTCCAATCTCCCCCCTTCCGCCATGTCTGGTTCCTCTCTCCCTGCGTGTGCTGAGTGTGCTGGTCTGCAAAAGGCTGCTGCCACGCGCTTTGCTCTGGCATTCCTCTGTGCTGCGTGCCAGGTAAGGAGAGATCCGCGCCCGTCCGCTCCGCTCCGCGCCGCGCCGGGCTACGGGACGGGCGCCTGCCTTTATTTCGGGGGGTTCGTCGTCCTGCGGCTGGTACTGTTGAAAGGGCTGCAGATGAACGGAGCTGGGGTGGGGGGAGGAGAGGGGAAAAATAAAGGCAGGCATGCCAGTCTGCCAGTAGGTACAGATGCTGCGTAGTCTGTGCTCGTCCTTGAAGGCTGTCCAAGAGCTGGCTCAGGGCGCCGGAGGGGTGGCAGGGTTCCAGCCTCATCTCTCTCTCCCCCTCTCTCGCACGCTCCGTCTCTCTCCCTTTTTTGTTTTTTGTTTGCGTTTTGTCCGGCGGGCTGCGCGCAAACTGTCCCGTGTGCTCCTCGTCCTGTCAAGGGTGCCCCGCGACAGCCCGGGGCCGACGGGCGACCGACGAGGGGGTTGGCATGCTTTCCGTCCTCCCAGCCAGCGCCATTTGCCTTCACCTCCACCTGTCGGGTTGCAGGGGAGTTGGGGGGGGGAGGCATTGTCCCCCCTCACTCATCCTCCTCCTCCTCATCCTCCACTTTTGTTGTGTTATTTTTTGTCACGAAAGCCGAGCGGCGGATGGCACCATGCGGGGCTGCAGTGCTCGGCTGTGTGACGTCATGGCTGTCTGGCCAGCAGCGAACACGCTTTGCAGCGTGCAGGTTGCAGAGCATTTACTGCAGAGCCTGTGACCTGTTTTTCTTTCCCTGTGCAGCAGAAGAGGTTTTTTTGGGAGAGTGGGGGGGGTTTGTTGTTGCTTTGGTTGGTTATTTCCTCACGTCATAAATCCCGATTCATATCGCAGTAGTACCAGCTTAACCAGTGCCAGGTCGCAACAAAAAGGGGGGGGGGGTGGGAAACCGAACAGAACAGTTTAGTCCTCTTTTCATTCCCCTTTTCTTTTTTGCCATCCATTATTTCGGTCCTCCTCCGTCCTGAATGGAAATTTCTCAGAGAAGTCGATCAGTGCCTGCTCATTTGAGAGGTAAATGAGAGCTGATTATTTAGTATCGGATGCATTATGTGTGTCGTACCAAAAAAAAAAAAAAGAGAGAAAATCCTGTGGTTTTGATTTGTATGAATTCCACTGTTGCGGCATTGCATCTAGCCCGGGCTGCTATCTGAGGAGCTCTGAGGGCTGGGATGGTGCACAAAGGGAGAGCCAGAGAGGGTGGAAAGGACATTGCTGTAAGAAAACCTTGGCATCTTTTCTGGCATTGCTTTCGTTATTTATTTTTAAACCGTTGTCCCCCCCCCCCCTCTCCTTGCGCTTTTTGCCTTTATCCTTTGTTGCCCTTCGTTTGCAGCCGGCTGGAGTTTTTGTTTTGCGTTTTTTTCTTCTTCTCCTTCTCAGTCTGAGCTTCGTCCCCTTTTGTGAGAACGTTGTTTGGTACTGTCGCCGAGGCTGTGTGCCAAGTCTGTCTAATTAAGATTAAGCATATGCAGATTTGCCTTGTTTTCAGCTAATGACAGCTGCAAACAATTATTTGTCATGCTTGCTGATTGTTGATTGGTGAAAGGATAGCCATGAGAGGATTCTCAGCTTTCTCAGGGTGTGCGTGTGTCGGTGTATGTGTGTGTGTGTGTTGGTCTCGGTAAGTTTCGAGATGCTGTTTGTCTAGACAGACGTGGCCGGCGTAAATTTCTTTCATTTCGCCGTCTTCTCGTGATATCTTGAAACAAAAGAAGCAGTGGGAGAAAATTCTTGCGAAAGCAGAGGGGTTCATGCCTGCCTGCCTGGGTGGATGCTTGTGTTTCTCTGCTGCGGTGGGCTTCTTGGCATTGGGGGCCAATGTATAGGTTTTGTTCTTAGTGTGCCAAAAGGAGGATGATGGGGGGGGGGGCATTGCGGCGGCCCTTCGTGCTCCTGAACGCCAGCGGGGTTAGTGATTCTATAGGGTCGCTTGTTTGTTTCCGTTTTGCGATTTCCATGTTGCCTCTGGGTTTTCATTTGTTTTGGGGGGTTCTTGCTATACAGCCACCGTGTAGGAACAATATGGGGGGAACAGCTAGCTCCTCGTTCAGCCTTCACAAGCTCATTGCGCAGTTAAAGGGAAGGCGTTGCAGCAGGCAGGGCTCTGGCTTCGCAGTCTTGTCCACGAAGCCCTCTTTGGCTCTGCAGCAGAGATCTGGTGCTCCCCTCTTCACAGCCTGGCACCACAGAGGCAGCTCTGATGAACCCTGTCTGGCCACGGAAGCTGAGAATCGGTCCGAGACAAATGCCTGCTCTCAGCTGGGCAGATGAGACTTTGTGACTTGTGGATCTGTTGATTTAAGAACATTTACAAGCGCTTCAGTCACAATCCAGATCCTCCCCACCTCCTGTCCGTTTGAAATGTTTTTGTTTTCTGGGTTTTGATGTAACAGAAGAGTGGGGCAGTGGTCTCGTCAAGGAAATACCAGGTACCAACCATGCTTGGAGGGTGAAAGACTTAAGCTGCGTTTCACAAAAATACTGTCTTTGTCATTAAAATTGCAGTTACTTATACAGGTATGAATCTGTCAGCACTATTGTGCAGGTGCATATAAATGTCTTTTTTTATGATTTGAATTATTAACACATTGTTTACCAGGAAAGTCTGGTGTGTGCAGGTGTGCATTGATCTTCAACTGGGTTTGCACTTTTAAATTGTCCATCAAGAAATGCAGTATGCTCTGGTGTGGAGAAACCTGTGTTTTACCTGGGAGCATTTCCCTGCCATCCTGGAACCAGTATTATATGAACGTCAGAGAGGCTGCACACGAGAGGAGGCTGTTTGCCCCATTGTGCTCATTTGGTTTTAAATCACGTAAGCGAAGATTTCCTCCAGACAGCAGTTCATGAAGGGGCAGTTCCTGATGGAGTTTGGGCTTCAGCCACCACACCTAACTAGAAGTCTGTCTAGGATTCGCACAGCTCTGTAAAGAAGTGTTTCCTATTCTCAATCCAAGACCTAACTTCTCTTTTTAGTTACCGTTTGTTACTCAGGATCATTGTTTCACTCCTGAGTGTGAAGCAGCCTTCTTGGTTGCTTATCTTTACCCCTTAGGATTTTAGGTACTTAGATCTCCTGTTTCCTTAGTTCTGAACCGAAGAGATTTTGCCCCCTTAACGTGTCCATATTTAATAGTCTCATCAATTCTTTGAGCTCTAAGCTCTTTGAACTCTTTCTAAGTTTAGAATATCTGTTTTGTGGTATAGTGACCATAACTGAAACTATGTTTTAAATCAAGTCTTACTATTGTGTTGTAAAGCTTAAACACAGCTTTCCACACCTTTTGCTATATATGCGAGAATTTTGTTAGCTTTTTTTATTGCTTAATCTCGTTACCTTGATGGGGACATAAAGAATCCACATAGAGTAAATGCCAGATCCCTTTTGTCTGTTCTTTAATGCAGGTCAGAATCACTCATACGATATACATGATGTTTGTTCAAATTTCCATGTAGATCACTTTCCACTTATCAGGGTTATATTCCATTTGCCATGTGTATGACCACTTCATGCTTGTGTCTAAGATCTTTTGTACTTGCTACTGTTGGATCATGCAGAGGAGCGCGCCTAGAGCAGATCCCTGGTTAAGGATATGACACTGTTTCCTGTTTATGATCCAGTTCTTAATCCATGTGCATATGTTACCTTAGATTTCTGCAGCTTTTAATTTGAGATTTAACATTTTGTGAAGGTCCTTATCAAAAATTTGCAAATGTGAATCTAGATTTTGGTGAATACTGTAGTACTATGCATGGCCCTTGCTGGTTGTTCAAAGAATGTTGGTAATTTAAATAAGACTTTACCTATAATCTGCTTTAGGCCCGTTCCTCTCTCAGGGATGGAGCGGTGGCACTGTGCCTAAGGATCTGTGCCTGTGGCTAGAAGGTTGCCGGTTCAAATCCCAAGGCCGGCAGATGAATCCTACTCCATTGGGCCCCTGAGCAAGGCTCTTAACCCCAGCTGCTCCAGGGGCGCCTTTTAAATGGCTGACCCTGCGCTCTGACCCCAAGCTTCTCTCTCCCTGTCTGTGTGTCTCATGGAGAGCAAGCTGGGGTGTGCAAAAAGACAAATTCGTAATACAAGAAATTGTATACAGCCAATAAAGTGATCTGATCTTACTAGAAGTAAGCTAATAATATCATAAGTAAAACTGATTGGTCTGTAGTTTCCTGGTTCAGCTTTGTCTCCCTTTCTATGAATGGGTGTCATATTTGCAATTCTCCCTAACATGGGTATAGCTTCTGTCCTGAGTGGGAGTTGAAATACCCAAGCCAGGGGTCTATGAAAAAGATCCCAGATTTAGTCACCCTAGCCCCTGTAGTCTTGTTGGTCTCTAGTGAACTGAGCAGAAAAACTATCGTGTTGATTTTTGCTGTTCAGATTGTTGAGGTTTGCCCAGTGTAGCACAAGGCATGTGACATCCTTGTTAACTGATTCACACTTAAAGAAGAAAGTCAGAAGTTTGCAAAGGCTGCTTGTGTGCTTAATCTGGAACCACAAAAGTGCTTTGTAAAAAATCTTATAAAGATGGCAATAGTAACAACACAATGCTGCAGTGATAATGTATCAGTGCAGTAGACTACCCCTTCTGAAAAAGTAGAGGGCACTGTTCTTGTCTTGTGCGACAGGCGTCTGTTGTTCGGACAGTACACCCAGTAACGGCTGCAGCCATTGAAGAAAAAGAGCACCAGGGGAAAAGCATGTTGCTACTAACAGGCTTCTACGGTATATAATGTAACCAGCATAGACTTAATAGACATAAAGCATTTTGGATCTTAAAGTATTTCAGTGACGTACACCAATAATCGTTTTCCTTATTTCCCCCTTTTCAACATGATGGCATGAGCATACTGCTGTAGGTTGTGACCTTAAAAAGGATTCATACACATTGCTACTTACTTTGAGGAAAACATTGTAGCTCATTACAGGCACTAATTTCTATTACCTGTTTCCTAATAATATTTTATTTCCAATACTGTAGTACATTCTGTAGTGTGTAGTGTA